AGCGTCGCTAGGATGCGTCGCTAGGATGCGTTGCTAGGGAGCATGGTGAGCGTTGCTAGGATGCGTCGCTACGATGCGTTGCTAGGGAGCATGGTGAGCATTGCTAGGATGCGTTGCTAGGGAGCATGGTGAGCGTTGCTAGGATGCGTCGCTACGATGCGTTGCTAGGGAGCATGGTGAGCGTCGCTAGGATGCGTTGCTAGGGAGCATGGTGAGCGTTGCTAGGATGCATTGCTACGATGCGTTGCTAGGGAGCATGGTGAGCATTGCTAGGATGCGTTGCTAGGGAGCATGGTGAGCGTTGCTAGGATGCGTCGCTACGATGCGTCGCTACGATGCGTCGCTACGATGCGTCGCTACGATGCATTGCTAGGATGCGTCGCTACGATGCATTGCTAGGATGCGTCGCTACGATGCGTCGCTAGAATGCGTTGCTAGGATGCGGGGAGTGTTGCTAGGATGCGGTGCTAGGGAGTGTGGCGAGCGTCGTTAGGATACTGGAAACACTGCTAGCATGCTGTGAGCATTGTTAGGATGCATTGCTACGGAGCATGGTGAGCATCGCTAGGATGCGTTGCTAGGGAGTGTGGTGAGTATCGCTAGGATGCGTTGCTAGGGAGTGTGGTGAGCATCGCTAGGATGCGTTGCTAGGATGCGGTGAGCATTACTAGGATGCGTTGCTAGGGAGTGTGGTGAGCATCGCTAGGATGCGTTGCTAGGGAACATGGTGAGCATCGCTAGGATGCGTTGCTAGGGAGTGTGGTGAGCATCGCTAGGATGCGGGGAGTATCGCTACGATGCGTTGCTAGGGAGTGTGATGAGCGTCACTAGGATGCGGTGAGAATCGCTACGATGTGTTGATAAGATGCTGTGAGCATTGCTAGAATGCTAGGATGCTGTGAGCATTGGGTGGCGAGCATGAAGCCATACGGTGCTGATTCGTCGGGGGGATGGTTCGCAGGGAGACCTGGTAAGGGGGGGTTAACCCCCGCGGGCATGCGCATGAGTGTAGAGTAGGAAGAGTAGCAGAAGCATGAAACTGTAGCACGAGTCTACCCTAACGAGATGCATCTAACGAGAGAACGATTCTCTTCCGCGCGTCTACCCTAACGAGATGCATCTAACGAGAGAACGATTCTCTTCCGCGCGTGCGTGCAGCGACGACACGCATTATAGAGCTTCAGGAAGCTGTGTCAGAGATGCTGCAGCGTGGCTGTACATGGCCAATCAGAAGTGCGGCGGCTGCGTGAGCACCGTTTCCGTTCCCGCGCCGGAGTTTATCACCCCGCTGCCCGAAGCCCCAGAATTAGTTTCGACGCGGCATGCATGCAATTGTCGTTTCCCGCGTCATGTAGGAACGATGCGCGGTGAGGGTGGCGGTGGGGTGCTGCTGCTGACTCCCGGGGGCGGTGAGCGTGAAGTAACGCTGGCATTACGTTGCAGGCCCCCGCCGGTATGTCGCCATCGCACATGTACGCGCACAACCAGTCGTCATCGCTGTCTGAGGTTTCTGAGCCGATGGGTAGCCAGGTAGGTGAGCTAGCGATGCCACGCCCCGCCACGCCCACTCTATCGAGGTTCTCCATCTCACCCTGGAACTGTGGGTCCCAATCCTTGGAGGGTTGTTTCCTTGTAGTAGCCCTTGGGGGCCACACTCAAACAAAGTCATGCACAGGGGGACTAACTGACAGGCGTGACAGAACTATTGT